GTCAAACGGGATCTCGGAAATTTTCGTTTCCGTCCCGTTCCATTCCCAATCAGGAATTGAAAACATGTCCCATATGGGAATACATGAATACGGTACAGAAATTCAGGAACGGATTTCTACCTACAAGCTAAAACAAAAACTCTCATTATTCTATCTACAAACCAAAAACATACAATATCTAAAGTTAAAACATATTATATACAACATAATACGAAAATCAAGTATAGTTTACAACGAATGTTCCCGCACATAGTGCAGGTGAGAATCTAGTATACACGTATAACACAAATCGTTCTTTAGTTTGTACAGTTTCTGGTTTTCATTTCTTTTTATCTTTTTTATAAATAAATATTTTTTTGTTGATTAATAAATTTTGCATTTAACCAAAAAAAACCATGAAGTATATATTAAGATCGAGGAATATTAGTTGACAACCACACAAATTATGAGAACGAAACCAAAAAGGTGGTAGCTTAGTAATAACATTAGTGGAACGGAAAATTATTCTTTAAATCGGAAAATTTAAAAACTATTTCTGGATACCGAAGAGATGATGAGCCAAAAATTTGGAATTCTAACGGTTTATATAAAAAAAAATTATATATATAAGAACGTTTAGACCAAAACAGCTGGAAGTTATGAAGACGGGCATGTGGTTGCTTATCTAATTCGGTAAGAGAATGGTGGCTTCATTTATTACACCTACACCTAAAGTTATTCATCACATTCGTAATTGGATCTATCATATTGCTATGTGAAAGAGGGAGAGTAGTATATTTTTTCATATTTGTCTTATCGTATTTGTATAACATGTGCTCTCTCTTTAATGCGTTCAAACGCTTTTCGACGCATCAACTGCCAACCTAATACAGTAACTTTGATAACACATGGAGGTGGAATTTAAACCAAACCGAAAGCAAATACATCTGTCCATATCTTACAACCGAGTTCACTTTACGAAGACCAATCGGCAATAAAATATTGAATCGAAATCAGACTAAACCAAAAATCTAAATATATATACTTTAGTTATAATTTTATCAGAGAC